TTCTCTGTCCCTACACTTAAACTATTTGTTTTCTTTCTTAATTTCCCCTATCTGAATATCTTCAGTCATCAAATCTTCATTTTTTTTCACATAAAAGCAAGAAACTTACGCGACTTTGTCACAGACAGTGCACGTCCAGCTGCCGTCGAGACCTGCAACTCTACACTCACTGCACACCCTTAGTGAACAGGCCTGGCATGGGTCTCCTCGGTCAAATATTAAGCCCAGGCTTCTCTGACAGTGAACACAGACTCTACTGGTCTCTTGCTGAGTCTTTCCACCTCTACGTTTTGCTTCTAAGAGTTCATTTTTCAACTTCCTAAAAAGAGAGAAATAAGATCAGTTAAAACAAAAGGGCAAAGCAAAACAGAGGAGCAGAGTTATCTCTATCTAATAGATATTTTCATTGGGAAAAATATTTGCAATAACCAAGGAATCAGAACCAAATACTTTCAGGAATACAGTTTCTCTCTCCAGCATCAACACTTCTTTGATTTCAGTAGTTGAAAAATACATGCATGTTCTACTTTTGAATTTTGATATCCTTCACTATTATAGAATGAGTCCTGAGTGGCACAAACAATTAAGCATAAAACCACTGTCTGGAAGGTTGGAAGTTTGGACTCACCCAGAGGCACTTCAGAAGAGAGGCCTAATAATCTGCTTCTCAAAGGACACAGCCCGGAAAATGCCAAAGAGCAGTTCTATTCTGCAACATATGGTATCATTGGATACAGGAATTGACATGATGGCAATTTTTTTTCTCTCCCTACTAGTACAACTATTTTGCCAGTATGATTTCTTTTATGTTTTAGTCAAGTTCTCTGGGGTGTCTTTGATGCCATAACATTGGAGCATGACCTCAGTCCAAAAGTATGCATTTTCTTTAGATGAGACAAACATCCTATATATAAACTATATGAGATAAAAATAAATCTGTAAGACCTACCAGCATCACTAGTACTTTCGCTAAGTGATCCAATAAGATTGTACTTACAAAAATCTTACCAACCATTTCAGGTCTAAATGTTTCTGCTGAGTATTTGGGTAGGCTCAGCAATTTCTATGGCCTTCCGTACTTCACACTCAGAAATACCTATATAATTTGAATCTGGGTTTTCCCACGAATTAACTGTGCAACCATAGCCAATGATGCACCCACTCAGTCTCAGTTTCCTTCATCTCAAAAATGGAAATAATAATATTCTTGCATGTTTTTAGAAATACTAAATGAGATAATAAATGAAAATTTCTAGCCTTGTGCCTGGCGCATAAATATGAAATAAATGATCATTTTACATCCTTTCTCTCACTACCTGAAATGTAATCTGTTTGTTATTGTTGTTATCGGGTGTTGTCAAGTCAGTTCCAACTCACAGCAATGCTATTTACAACAGAATGAAACACTGCTTGTGCCTGCACCATCCTTACCATTGTTATGTATGAGTGCATTGTTGGAAAGGGACTAATCTTTAGGCGCTGTATCTGACAATGTTGTGTTCCTATTCATAAGACTTTCAGTGGCTAATTCCTCAGAAGTGGACAGCCTATTCTTTGGATGTCAACCCTTTGTTGTTAGAGATGCCATTCAGCCTGTTCTGACCAAGAGTGGCACTATGCACAACAGAATGAAACACTGCGGGTCCTGCGCTGTCTTCACAATCATTATGCTTGAGTCCATGGTGGCAGCCGTTGTGTCAATCCATCTCCTTG